TTTTTTCTGTTTTTAGTAGAGATGGAGTCTCACTCGAGCTCAGGCTGGTCCTGAACTCCTGAGCTCAAGTAATCCACTCACCTGGCCTCCCAGAGTGCTAGGATTTATGGGCATGAGCCACTGCAGGCCAGCCAGGGAGTATTTTTCAAAATGGTCACAGGAAAGTAAAAAGCACCTGGCTTTACATTAAAGTGCTGGAGCATTACCATGAGTGAGAAAAAGAAACTCAACTGAGTGGGAAGACACATGCCAAAATATAGATGCAGAGGAGGAAGGCTTCCCACCCCATTTCTTGGAGCACAGCCATATGGTCTGTCTATTGTCCTGCGTCATCCGTTTGGCCCTACTTTACATAGCAACTACTCACTTTTGCACATCTATCTTTGTTACTGATTCCTTCTAAAATGCCTGTGCTGACCCCTTCCAATTTCTTTTTGCTATATAGGGCAGTTCATCAAAACTCATCTCTAACAAAGTCTTCCTTGACAGACCACACTCTAGTCTGAGCTCCCTCACACTCCTTGTTAATTTTAGCACTTAAGGAGATGGGTTGCTGGCATGGTTGTGTTACGTGTCATGTGTATTTAACTGCCATCTTCTTCCTCTCAAGGAGAACATAAGAACCTCATGATCATGAGCTATTTTTTTCTTCCTCTGAAGCTCATTCTGCGTCCGACACCATGCTAGATATACAACAAATGCTTAAGAAAATAAAAATGAATTCTAAACAAAAGCAGGCTAAAACAACACAATTCACAAATGGTTAAACTTCTTACTATGGATATTGCCCTGCAGGTTTTGGACTTCATCTGTAACATATACGAGTGAGTGTAAAGGAAGAATGAGCGTAAAGAAATTTACCCAGTCTAAATTTGCCTGGGTATTTAGTTCACAGCAGTGGCTCACAAATTGTGTTGGGAGGGACATTCTAAAGTAGTGGTTCTCAACATTCCTAAGGCTGTGGCCCTTTAATACAGTCCCTGACCTGCTGTTCTAAAAGTCTCCAGGGAAAGAAGAAACTTCTCACTTCCTGAGGAATTTACTTAAGTCTGTTTTACTCTATTAACTTAAAAAACTGAGAGCTGACTGTTTGTAAGTCTGAATCATATGGTCAGACTTACTCTGAGTGTCAAATCTGGTGCCTTCAGTTATTACCAGTTTGCCTCTGGGACTTGGTAAAATAAAATGATGAGCCCAATTATGTTCCCAGAGGAAAGCCAGCAAGTAGACTTGACAGATTCAAAAAATGGGTGACATCAAGAACCTGTTGGCCTAGTGGCTAAGCAGTTTACCACAGAAAACCTGGAAACAACTGTATAGCAACACACTATTGCCTAAGTAAATTATGGCGAATCTATGTAATAGGACACTTAATTGCGATTAGAAAAATACTCATTAACAAGGGGAGAGATTAAAATTATAATAGTGAGAGGGGAAAAAACTACTTAAAATAATTAAGTACAGGGCGGTGCCTGTGGCTCAGTGGGTAGGGCGCTGGCCCCATATACCAAGGGTGGCGGGTTCAAACTCGGCCCTGGCCAAACTCCAACAAAAACATAGCTGGGCGTTGTGGCAGGCACCTGTAATCCCAGCAAGTCCTTAGGCAAGAGAACTGTCTAAGCCTAGGAGTTGTAGGTTGCTGTGAGCTGTGATGCCACTGCATTCTCCCGAGGGCCATTAAGTAAGACTCTTGTCTCTCCAGAAAAAAAAAGTACAGTAGGACCTGACTTTTATTTTTGGAAAAACACAAATAGATATCATTAAACGTAGAACATGACCCTGAAAAATATGCACTAAGGTGTAATTCTTCAAAGGTATTGTAATAGATGATTTAATTTCAATCTTTTGACTTTATCTCTATTTTCTTTCTCTCTTTTTTTTAAAAGACAGAGTCTCACTCTTGTGTCTCAGGCTAGAGTGCTGTGCCATCAGTCTACCTCACTGCAAGCTCAAAGTCCTACATTCAAGAGATCCTCCTGCCTCAGCCTTCTGAGTAGCTGGCACTACAGGCAGCAGCCACAATGCCTGGCTAATTTTTCTATTTTTAGTAGGGATGGAGGTCTTGGTCTTATTCAGACTGGTGTTGAACTCCAGAGCTCAAGGGATCCTCCCACCCTGGTCTCTTAAGAGTGCCAGGATTACATGTGTGAGCCACCTTGCCCAGTCTATTTTCTTTATTTTTTATATAATAAACATATACTGCTTCTGTATATGTCTTTCTCAGAGACAAGATAAGCTGGGGCTTCTTCTGACCTTTTTCAGTGTATTTGACATCTTTAGAGTAAAGCAATGGAGGCTACTATGAGCAAAACCAGGTTACTTCTTTATTTTATAAAAAGGTGGGGTTTGGTGGCTCACACCTGTAATCCTAGCACTCTAGGAGGCCAAGGTGGGTGGCTTGCTTGAGCTCATGAGTTTGAGACCAGCCTGAGCAAAAGCAAGACTCTGTCTCTACTAAAAACAGAAAAAAAGGCAGCTCCTGTAGCTCAGGGATTAGGGCACCAGCCACATACATCAAAGCTGGAGGGTTTGAACCCAGCCCGGCCAGCTAAAACAACGACAACTGCAACAACAAAAAAATAACCAGACATTGTGGTGGGCACCTATAGTCCCAGCTACTTAGGAGGCTGAGGCAAGAGAATTGCTTAAGCCTAAGAGTTTGAGGTTGCTGTGAGCTGTGATGTCACAGCATTCTACTGAGGGTGACATACTGAAACTCTGTCTCAAAAAAAAATAAAAAATAAAAAATAAAAAAAACCGAGGCAAGAGGATCACTTGAGCCTGAGTTGGAGGTTGCTGTGAGCTGTGACACCATGGCACTCTTCTGAGGGTGACAAGTGAGACTCTGTCTCAAAAAATAAATAAATAAATAAATAGGCTTGGCACCTGTGACTCAAGCAGCTAAGGAGCCAGCCACATACACCTGAGCTGGCGGGTTTGAATCCAACCAGGGCCTGCCGAACAACAATGACAGCTGCAACCAAAAAAAAAACAGTTGGGCATTGTGGCAGGCGCCTGTAGTCTCAGCTACTTGGAGGCAGAGGCAGGAGAATCACTTAAGCCCAGGAGTTGGCGGTTGCTGTGAGCTATGATGCCACAGCACTCTACCCAGGGTGACAGCATGAGGCTCTGTCTCAAAAAATAATAATAATAAAATAAAATAAAAATGAAATAAAATTAAAAAATTAATTTTGTAAAAAGATGCTCAACTTTAAAATATGCACTGAAAGAGGAGCTCACAAAGCAAGAAGTTTCTCAGAGACAAGATCAGCTAGGGCTTCTTCCAACCTTTTTCAATGTGTTTGACATCTTTAGAGTAAAGCAATGGACGGTACTATGATTCCCAGCTGTGGCCCAGATCACATATCCACCTTCACAGAAGCAGCCCCTGAGCACAGGGAGCAGGGAGAAGCCATCATAGCAAGACTTTAGAGCAGTGAAGACATAGCAACATCTTAAACAATATAGTGTAAGCAGGCTGTAAAGTGTGGGTGTAAGATGAGACTTACTTGGATGGTCACATTCATGGATTCTGGCACAGGTCTGGGTACACTCAGGCGGCCTAGTACCACAGGGAACTGGAGGGTAAATCACTGATGCACCACAGTGGCAGGTTAATTCATCAAAACCTGGTGGAGTAGCAGGTGAAATAAAACAATTATTCTTTTTTTGAGACAGAGCCTCAAGCTGTTGCCTTGGGTAGAGTGCTGTGGCATCACAGCTCATAGCAACCTCCAACTTCTGGGCTCAAGTGATTCTCTTGCCTCAGCCTCCCAAGTAGCTGGGACTACAGACGCCTGCCACAATTCCTGGCTATTTTTTGGTTGTAGTTGTCATTGTTGTTTGGTGGGCCTGGGCTGGATTCGAACCCACCAGCTCTGGTGTATGTGGCTGGTGCCTTAGCCGCTTGAGCTACAGGCGCTGAGCCAAAACAATTATTCTTGAGTATGAGATTGCATATACATATTTATAAATATGTATTTTTATTTATTTATTTATTTTTTGAGACAGAGCCTCAAGCTATCCCCCTGGGTATAGTGCTGTGGCATCATAGCTCACAGTAACCTCCAATTCTTGGGCTCAAGAGAGTCTCCTGCCTCAACCTCCCAAGTAGCTGGGACCACAGGCAGCCGCCACAGCGCCCGGCTATTTTTTGGTTGCAGCCATCATTGTTGTTTTCAAATCCCGGGCTGCATTTGAACCCACCATCTGAGGTGTATGTGGCTGGTGCCTTAGCCACTTGAGCCACAGGCACTGAGCCTAAATATGTATTTTTTTTTTTTTTTTGAGACGGAGCCTCAAGCTATCCCCCTGGGTAGAGTGCTGTGGCATCACGCTCACAGCAACCTCCAACTCCTGGGCTCAAGAAAGTCTCCTGCCTCAGCCTCCCAAGTAGCTGGGACTACAGCCGCCCGCCACAACGCCTGGCCATTTTTTGGTTGCAGCCATCATTGTTGTTTGGCGGGCCCGGGCTAGGGATTCGAACCCGCCACCTTAGGTGTATGTGGCTGGCGCCTTAGCCGCTTGAGCCATAGGCGCCGAGCCCTAAATATGTATTTTTAGAGGAGAATCTTCTAGGGGGCTACTTATTTTTAAAAAGTATTTTATTAAGGCTGAGCTAGTAAAAAAGCCACACACAGGTATGAAGTGTTATGTTTACTTTTTTTTTTTTTTAAGAGACAGAGTCTCACTTTATTGCCCTCCGTAGAGTGCCATGGCATCACAGCTCACAGCAACCTACAACTCCTGGGCCGAGGCAAGTCTCTTGCCTCAGCCTCCTGAATGGCTGGGACTATAGGTGCCCGCCTGAATGCCTGGCCATATTTTTGTTGCAGTTTGGCCAGGGCCGGGTTTGAACCCGCCACCCTGGGTATATGGGGCTGGCGCCCTACCCACTGAGCCACAGGTGCTGCACAAAAGTGTTCTGTTTACTACAATGAACATGACAACTTCTCAATACTTTCCTTAACACATTTCTAATTAGATTGGTGGTTACATTAATGATTGGGTTTTTAATATTATAATATAAAATTTGTCAACATTTCAAAGATCTGTATAACCCAGTGAACAACTGTTTTCCAAATGATTGATGCATGCCATTATAAAATCATGCATAGAAAAAGATCCATTCTGAGTATAAGATCCTATTCTAGCAGGTGCAGTTAGAAAAAAACAGACAAATAAATACACAAGAAATACAAATAAAACATAAGAAACCATGAAGTATAAGACTGATGAATTTGAGCATGATGGAGAACAAAAACATTGACTCAAGTCCCTTCTGAAACTAGGCTGTTGTGTTTTTTTTCCCCGTTGGAGACAAGAGTCTCACTATTTCACTATGTCACCCTCCCTAGAGTGCTGTGGTGTCACAGCTCACAGCAACCTCAAATTCTTGGGCTTAAGCGATTCTCTTGCCTCAGCCTCCCAAGTGCCTGGGACTATAGGCGCCCACCACAACACCTGACTATTTTTTGGTTGCAGTTGCCATTGTTGTTTGGCAGGCCCGGGCTGGGCTCAAACCCACCAGCTCCGGTGTATATGGCTGGCATCCTAGCTGTTTGAGCTACAGGCACTGAGCCAGTTGTGTTCTGGTATAATTTCAAAGATGAATACCCATAATTATTTGAAAATGTTTTAAAAATACTCTTCTCTTTTCTAACTAGGTATCTGCATGAGGCTGGATTTAGCCCATATGCTTCAACTATATTGAAAGACTGAATGCAGAAGTATATAAGAGACTTCACCTAACTTCTCTTAAACCAGGCATCTGCTATTTTCACTATTTTGTTAAAAGTATAGTTATTTTGGCTCGGCGCCTGTGGCTCAAGCGGCTAAGGCGCCAGCCACATACACCTAAGGTGGCGGGTTCGAATCCC